CCCTGTCACCTGCACCCCTCACCCTGTCACCTGCACCCCATACCCCAGCTGTCCTGTCACCTACACCCTGCACCCCACACCCTGTCACCTGCACCCCACACCCCAGCTGTCCTGTCACCTGCACCCCACACCCCAGCAGTCACGTGGCTCCCAGGAGCCGACTGCTGACACTGCTTTGCGGCCGTGGTCCTGGTGCCCCTGAGCAAGGGCAGAGCTGCGTGGAGATGGCAGCCGCGGAGGGCCGGGAGGGCACAGAACCGGGCAGGGCACCTGCGGCCTCAGCAGGGACAAGGTCGCCAAGTCTTCCCCAGGCACTCGGGGAGGTGACACTGAGCCACTCCCCCAGGAGGAGCTGCGGCAGGTGACACTGCACCCTGGGGGGACATGTCCCTGGGGAGCCCCTCCCCCCCAGCCCGGCTCTGCGCCCACATGGGCAGGGACCTACCACGATGACGGACAGGGCGGGGGCGACGAAGGCCCAGATGGCACCACTCCGCAGGGACAGCCAGCAGCTGGGGAGGGAGCAGAGCGTCAGTCCAGCCGCTCGGCCGCCTGCACCCGAGGCGCTGAGCAGCTGCTAAGGCGGTGTCTTTCCCGGTGACAGGGCCCGCCTGGGCACAGCCCTGATAACACCCTTAACCCCAGCGAGTCTCTGTGTCCCACGACGCTCTCCCGCGTGCTCGTGGAGAGGGTTTCCAGGTCAGCAGCCTCTGGAGAGTCTGCCCAAAATCCAAAGTAGATTTTAATTTCATCATGAAAAATAAATAAGCCTTTGCCGGGGACCAGCTTTCTCGCAGAGCATCTCAAGAAGCCCCTTCCAGGAGGGGTTAGCTGGTGGGCCGCCACGTGGCCGGCACCCGGCCGTTCCCATCGGCCCAGAACGGGAGGCTGGGTCCAGCCCTGGTGGCCCCACTGGGGGAACAGGCTGCGGAGGATCCGGTGGCCGCTCTGCCGTCCTGGGCTGTCGGGTCCAGTTTGAGGACTCGGGCGGGAGAGCCGGGTCTCACAGTCCGTCTCTTCCCAGTGCCCGGGCGCTACCGAGAGCCGAGACTCCCTGGGGCCTGGCGTCTTGGCGTCCTCTCAGCCGCTGGGCGCTGAGTGTTTCCCGGGGCACCTGGGTGCCGTCAACAGTACCCTGGCAGCCACCTGGCCCGTCCTCACCAGCACAGACCTGACGTCTCCGCCTGCAGCTCCCTCACTCGGTGACCGTTTGCCAAGCAGCATGCCTGCCCCAAGTCACTTCAGCCCCACACGCAGCGTCACCCAGCGTCGCCCCAGGGAGCCCTGTGTCTGCGCCGTGATCACCCCACCCTGCAGAGGAGGAGCCGAGGCCCGGAAGCTCAGGTGGCCTCCGAGCTCTCTCACGGGCACGCTCGCCGCCTTTCCACCTGTTCCTGCCCCGTTCCTGCCGACACCTCCCGGACCAGGAGACGCGGGGCGGCCCGAGACAGGTGACCTCGCCTGCCCGAGGCTCACGCGTGTCTGGACACGGAGCGGGGCGAGGAGAGACCTCTCGCCTGCGGCACGGTGCGCAGGAGGAAGACGCTCCGCGGGTCTGAGTGCGCCTCTGTGCGAGCAGCTCGCGCGGGCTCCGAAGTGCGACGTTCTGCAGAGACGGGTCGTGCCTTCCAGCGCTTCACCAGGACTCCGAGTCCACGAGGAGCCTCCGACAGATGCCCATCCTGCCCGGACACCCCGTGAGCTTCCTGAGCCCCGGCTGGCAGGCGCTGCCCGGCTCTCGGCGGCGAGTGCGGGAGGCGCATCCTCCTGTCTCTGCGCGGTGGGCGCCCCCACCCGCCAGCGCGGGCGCGATGAGACTGCACCAGTGCCGCCCAGGTTGCTCCAGAAGAACATTCTTCTTCTAACTAGTGCCTCAAGTTCCAGCAGCTTTCAGGACGGAAGGAACGCCCGGAACAACGGTCAGCTTGATCACCCTGATTTCCAAACGCTCGCAGGCGGCCCCTTCTCTCTTGAGTGCTTCATCCGCGCCGAATCGCTGCACTAAGGCAGAAGAGCTAGACTCCCCCGCGTCACTACTCGTCCGACTCTCTTCCTCTTCTGAAGCGCTCTCGGCGGCGGTTCTCTTTCATGTTCTCACGCGGTGCAGGTGCAGCCGCAGCCCGCTGGCGCAGGCACTGGCCTCCCGAGGACATCTGAGCCGAAGCCCTTCTTCTTTAAGGAGAGCAAACCACATTTCTAGAACCGGAACCCACGGCTGGTCCCACGCGCCGTCCCATCCTCCTCCTGGTCCCGCCGTGGGCTCGTGGGCTGCGTTCCGGTGGAGCCCGTGACCTGGAACACGGAGCCCCCACCCGGGACTCCAGCGTGGGAACCCCAAGCCCCGCCTGCCTGGTGCACGCGAGCCCACGTGTCTCCAAACACGCATGTGCTCACTGCAGTTCACCGGGCACGCCGTGGACTACGCATGTGCCGACCGCCCTAACAAAGGGCGGGGGTCACACACGGGTGTCCAGAACCGCGCCTGGGCAGGCCACAAGCGTGGGAAAATTCCAACCAGAAACTCCTACCCACCCCTCACCGCCCTGAGGCCGTCATCGCCGGCTCCAAGGCCGGAGGTGCCCAGAGCAGAGCTGGCTGGCGCCACCCTGCCTGGCCCACGCCCTCCCGCCACCAGCCTGGGGAGCCATCCCCGTGCCTGGGGGCGTGGGGGGCAGGGTGCGAGGCCACGGGCCCTCCCCGGGCCCTTCCCCAGGGCAGGCCTTTCACTTACTTGTCACTTGTCCCGTAACCGTCCATGGCCGATGACATGGAAACGATGCAGATCAGGAGAGGAAAACCTGCAGAGAATCAGAGGGAGCCACGTAGGCGCCAGGGCCCTCCGGTCGCTGGTTCACGCACCCACGTTCCGCCCAATGCGTGCGGAGAGCTTGGCGCTGGGGGCTGGGGCGGCCTCTGCGCCCGGTAGAGTCCCGGCCGAACGAGCAGAAGGCACAAGCGCCGCCTCGCCTGCCGCGACGCCCCGCCATGCCCCGCACGCTCCCGCCTGCCCAGTCGACGCCAACATCCGATGCTGTCAGCACACGCTCCTGCTATGCGACTTCACTTTTATAGGGTGAAGCCGTCCTATTTTTCTGGGAGCGCGAGCCACTACGCTCCGCCCCGGCCGACACGCCCCATCAAGTCCTAGCCCGCTGCTGGCTTCTGCCAGGTTATGATAAGAAAAATCTGCTTAGATCGCTTAATTTTAACGTTGACTAAGCCAGCTGTTTCCCTGTGGACCTTTTGGGTGTGCCTGCCAGGGCCAGCCATCTTCCATTCGGGTCGCACATCAGCCTCCGCACCATCCTCCTCTCAACAACACAACCGGTCACAGTAAAGCTATGAATCTTTGATATTGGCCAGCGTTTCCTTGCACGGCTCTCGCTGTGCTCTGAAGCAAGAACCACACTTCTCTTCCACTCTCACTCCCTTTTCTCTCCCTTCGTACTTGTCCCTGCTGGGTCTGATTACCTTAAGGCTGACAGAGTGGCAGCTGGCGACCAAATCCCCTTCCTCCATCAACCG